GGTGACTTGTGACAAACTGCGCCCATCTGCCCACAGGTAAAACACGGCAGCACTGTAAGCAGTCCACAGAGCAGAGGAACAAAGACACAGTGTCAGGAACCCATCTGCCTAACGGGCACTACCTGGAACACGGTGGGGAGGGCGGAACACCATCTCACCACAAACGCATCTTTGAAAATATATGACTTATCAATCAGAAAATGTTAAAATCGTGGTGGGGTGACGTAATTTCTGGTGGAGTTCCATGCACGAGACTTTAGGTCACGTGGATAATGGAGTCAAACAATCACCTCTTGGGGCAGCAGTAGCTCAACAGGTTGAGCGAGTTGTCTAGTAATTGGAAGGTTGCAGGTTCGATCCCGGCTACGGACAGAGAATTCTGCTGTTCTGTCCTTGGGCAAGACACTTAACCTACCTTGCCTACTGGTGTTGGCCGGAGGGACCGGTGGCGCCTGTGCTCAGCAGCCTCGCCTCTGTCAGTGCGCCCCAGGGCAGCTGTGGCTACATCGTAGCTCATCACCATCAGTGTGTGAATGGGTGAATAATGTGCTGTAGTGTAAAGCGCTTTGTAGTCCTTACTCTGAGAGGCGATATACAAGTGCAGGTCATTTATCATTCATCATTTATAAGCCATGGAGGTAATTACCGTTGGAGCCCCAATCTGCCTTTTTACTACAGCCAGGTGACTCTCAACTAAGAGAATTAACAGAAAAAGAGGGGAATATGAGCAGGCCAGGACCCATGTCCCTGACAGACTTACAACACATTCATTCCCAATAGAGATGTCACTCCCTGTCCTGTCTCCCCATTATGTTCAGTCATGTGTGTGTCTCGGTTAATTGCTCCCACCTGCCTCTCGTTTTCCAATCACCCAAGCTCCCAGCCCTCATGTATTTAAACCCTCTCAGTTCTGTGTGTTTTGTCGGTTCATTGTTTCTATGTCCAGCGTGTTTTATATTAAAGCCTTTGTGAACCGTTCCTGCCTGCCTGCCTTTTTCACCCGTGTTTGGATCCTTGCCTCCGCTCACCTCGCCCACACGCCGGTACAGAATGAACCGACCCCCTAAAGAATCCAGCGGGGAGATTCTCCCCTGGGAGTACCTGCTTCAATGGCTCACCCCGAACCACCGGCCGGCTTCTCCTCCTCCGGCGTCGCCTCGCCGCAGACACTGCCGCCGAACCCCGGCCTCTGCGATCCTCTCCACCTTCCCGGAGCTAGATGGGGGGTTGGGCTGGGAGACGCAGCTAGACCGCTCCTGCTATGTGGGCACCAGACTGGCTGTGTGCTCCCCCGGAGTTGGCCCACGACGTTGGGAAGGATGCCGAGCTCCACCGTCACCCCCTGTCCCAGGACGGAACCACGGGCTCACCGCTACCCTGGCTCGGCACGCCAGCCTGGACCCGCCCCTAGTCAGATCAGCGGCCCCATCTCCGGTCCAATCAGCACCTCCTTCATCTGCAGGCGGAGGGACCAAGCCTACAGCCCATCAGACGGAGCTCGCCGACCTCCAAGCGGAGCTTGGCCGGCTCCGTCCACTCATCAGCCTCCAGGAGTTCCAGCTGGACACCCTATCCTCCTCGTATCTCCAGGAGAAGGTTTCTGTCCAGCCAGTGGCCCCGCCTCCGGTCCAGTCAGCAGCTCCCTCGTCTCCAGGCCAAAGGACCGAGCCCGCAGCCCATCCAACAGAGCTCGCCGGTCTCCGAGCTGAGCTGGTCCGACTCAGTCAGATCTTCAGTCTCCAGGAGCTCCAGGTGGACAGTCCCTGTTAATTGCTCCCACCTGCCTCTCGTTTTCCAATCACCCAAGCTCCCAGCCCTCATGTATTTAAACCCTCTCAGTTCTGTGTGTTTTGTCGGTTCATTGTTTCTATGTCCAGCGTGTTTTATATTAAAGCCTTTGTGAACCGTTCCTGCCTGCCTGCCTGCCTTTTTCACCCGCGTTTGGATCCTTGCCTCCGCTCACCTCGCCCACACGCCGTGACAAGAGAACACTGCAAATGTATTGATTAAACACCTTTAACCTGTTTAACCCTAACGCCCACCAATTGGGGCATCTATATAAAAAATCTTCAGCTGTCTTAGGATCTGTATTTGCAGGTGATGCTACACCTCCTGAATCATGCTAAGGTGCAGAGACAGCTCTTCCACCGATCCTGCAACCGTACTGTTGACCTTTTGGTTTTACTCAGAGTTCTCCACACATGATCCCCCAGATGTTTTGGTTCTCCTCACTGGTTTTGTTTCCCTGGTGGAATAGTCTCCATGAGAACGTCCCTCAAATGAAAAAAGCCTTTCCCACCATCAGTGAATGGCAGGTGTGGAGATATGGGCAGCCAAGAGGGTTCAACAACAGACAATGGGTCAATTATTTCATGAGGAGGGCTGTTGGGAGCTTTGGAGGCCTGGTTAAGATCTTTAAATGTGCCATGATGGAGTGCATTTCAGCAAAAAGGAAACAAACTGTTTCTGGGCAGAATTCATTCTGTTCTGGATATGATTCTGGCTAAAAGATCTGCAAACTAAAGCTGTTACACACACACACACACACACACACACACACACACACACACACACACACACACACACACACAACAGCAAACAGTAATGGGCAAAAGGCACTAAATTAAAATCCAGAAAATGTGCCACCAACCAACTTCCTGAATTTTCCAAACCAGCCTCCTGGAGAACAGTCAAATATTTTTTTCTTTTTTTCAAGAAAAAAAAAACATTAAATAAAACAACAACAACAACAACCTATGCATTTTTAAACAATAAATAAGTGGTATTGGTTCTCTGCAATGAGAGGGGGGTTTCTACCCTGCTGTGCCGGTGTGCTCTTGCTCTGGCCCTTGAGGGCCATCTACCCCACATGCCCCGAGGGCCCCCACAGGCACCTTTGAGGATGAGGTCATCAGGCCTATCCAGAACTGGAAAGCATATGTGGGCAAACTTCCATGCACCCTCTTACAGTACCATGAGTTGAAGAGGGGGAAATCTAATTAAAACCGTCCTTATGGCATATTTTCATGTCAGTAGGTAACATTTTTTATTTCATTTATTACAACATGCCCAAAATGTCTTTATAAGTGACTACATTTTATGTTCTGTTAAGTTTAGTACATGCTTTGGTTTAGCGACTAAAATGTTCTCCACTAAATGGTTGATCAGAAAGTCAGTGTTAGTCAAGTAAAATGGAAATATAGTCACCGTGCTTAACCCTCCCCACTCCCTTGCACTTTTTGCTACGGGGGTGTGCTTTGTGAATAATTTTGGCTGTGCTAATGTTTGTACTCTGGTCTCTTTTGTGGCGTTCTGAAGGATGTCATTCACGTGTTGCCATCCTGCTCCAGGGAAGCTGTCAATTTGCAGTCCCTGGACGGGGATGGCATTTATTCTGTTGAGATTAGAGTCCCCCATAATGAGGTTCTGTTCTGCCACATGCAGAGACCAGATCTTCTTGTTCTTGGCCGCGTGTGATGTCAGTACACATGTGGATGGTTTCCCTGGATGATCAGGCCGGCCTGCCGCCGGGTCTCTGGTCTCCGGGTCACTCGTCTGCTTCTCTTCCTGGTTTCTCCTCTGGGTCTCGGTGTGCTCGATCTCCTCTCTTCTCAGCCTGTCCAGTGAGGTCTCCTCCGGTAGCTGCCAATGGTCTTCTTTTGTTGACTTTTGGGTCAGCCGTGGCCGGGCTCCCCCCTCGGTTCTGGGTGGAAGAGCTGCTGCCCCCATCTCCGATGGGTCCTGTGGGAGCTTCATGTCCATCTCTATGGCCCTGGTGAGCGAGGTCAGAGGTGAGTGTGGAGAAGGGTATGGATCCTGGTTGGTGGAGGCCTCCCACCGGCAGCCTTCAGGCGGTTTCTCCTCCACTTTGGGCTGCTGTACTGTCTGGGTGGCGTGTTCTTTTGTGCGTAATAAAATGAGGCCACCGCCGAAGGCGGTGGTCTCTTTGAGGCTCTGTCCATTCTGGGCACCACGGATCTGATGGTCCACCCCCCACGAACTCTTCCTTGGGGTTCACAGGTAGGTACAAGACACAACTTATTTAGTTTTTCAGAGTGGTACAGTCTGACGAATCTGCCCTCTGGGTTGTGGTTTAGGGTCAGGATTCCGGTGAGCCAGGGTTAGTTGATGGGGTGGGGGTGGGGGGAGGGGGGGGGGTTTGGTTTGGGAACATCAGTTCCCACTGGTTAGGGTCAGGGCCAGGAGATGGGAGAGGGGGTAGAGAAAATAGTGGCTTCAGACCCCCACTAATTAGGGTAAGAGCCAGGGGTTGGGAGAGGGGGCAGAGAAAATGGGTAAGGAAGGTGGTGGCTTCAGACCCCCCACTAATTAGGGTAATAGCCAGGGGTCGGGAGGAGGATGGGGGGCTCAGGCCAGGAGTGATTAAACTGAGGTCGGGTGTAGGAGACAGTGTTAGGAGCTTGAAACAGCCCGAGGCTTAGCCTCATTAAGCCCTCCCGGGTGTGCTGTGTCCAGCCTCATCATCCAGAGTCTCTCTGCCCACTTCCGCTGCTGGGCAGTCCAGTCTGGGTTCGACTCTAGGACTGTGGCTGTAACAGATTGCCAACCATGTATAAGAAAGTGTTGGACCAAATGGGTGTTTGTCTCCTTCCTCCTCAGGATTTTGTATCTGTGTTGTGTGAATCTGACCAGGAGTGTATTTTTGGTCTCTCCCACATACATTTTTTGACACGTTTTGCATGTTATGAGATACACACAGTTGGAGGTGCGGGCGGTGCGTTTAGTCCGGGTTAAGTAAACTGTGTCTGAGAAAACGTTGTAAATCCACTGTTTGTGCTTATAAAATTGCCCCAAGTCCTTAGATTTAGTTCTGACTGTAGGTCTCAATTTAGCTTTAACTAGATAGTCTTTTAGATTTTTGTTCCTCCTGTAGGCAGCCAGCACCTCATGGTCTGTGAGCATCTTAGTTGTCTGGACAAGAGTCTGATCTGAGACCAGACCAGTCTGGATTAGCTCTGAAGGTGGCGCTGCAGCACCCCGCTTTCCGCCGCTCAATGTCAGAAGAAGACGAAGAAGCGAAAGAAGAAGAAGACTATCGCTAGCTAGCTGGAATGATAAGTTGCTAACCAACTCTTGGGACCTGAATGAACAAATGTGAGCAGTAGCTTTGAGTAGCTCCCGCTGCCAGCAGGACATGCAGTGTTCTACAAGGTAATGAGCCGAAAAGCCCCGGGGTCTCGGCTCAGCGGCGCCCACAAACTGCGGCCACACTGGAACGACTGGCAGTCTAGGTAGGTGTTGTGCTCCGGTGTGAGAGAAAACGGCGGATTTTAGGCCCTTTGCTGAGCGGCTTGTGGTCACATGAGAAACGGATACGTCTGTTTCTTCGTGGTAACGTTAAATTACACCCACGGTTCAACAGGATTCTGAAATGCGCGTGCAGGCTAGCAGCTCGTGTCCCGGTAGGGTCGACTGTGTGGGTCTGGCGAGCCTCGCGCTAATGGAGAACGGGCTAAGAAATGACCGTTGTTAAGGGAATGGTTTTGTTGCATATGAGTCAGTCGGGAACCGAATGTGTTTATTTTCTATGTGACACATGTAGAGTGAGCTATTGCAGTTGTTGGAAGATTTTCGGGGTAAATGTAGCATGTTAGCATTCCTCCACTTGTGTTTGCTAACGAAGCTAGTTTGCAGAAGGAAGACGCCACCCTGTGAAAATGATCGGCTTCAGCTAGGACTTCCGGAAACGTCTGTAAGGGACTACATAACCCTAACTTTTATATTTGCTAATAATTATCTGAATCCTCAAAGCAATACAAGAAGCACCAAGTTCTTCCCGTTCTCTGTGGAGTATGATGGAGAGTTTAGTGCTGTGATCTCAGCTACTTTCCCCGAGGGCCGGTATCAAGCATGTTTTAGTGGTTTCCCTAAACCATCACACATGACTCACCCGTTCAGCAGCTCATCAAGCCATGCAGAATACTGTTAAACACCTGCTGATTAAAATCAGGTGAATGAAAAAAGCTAGAAAGTTGGGATCACTGGTTTGTAATGACAAATGCCTGGGGGGCTTTTAGTTTAAACACCTGCTGTCAAGGTGTGCATTTGTTCTCGATGTTCTTGCTGTTAGGAGTCCTGAGGTTCTTCAGCTAAACAATAAAACTTCATGATGGTGGGAGGCAGCGCAGTGCACTCCTTTATTGCCTAGTGGAGAAAGTTTAGTGTCACAGCAGCAACTACATTCACTATAGGAGCAAAAAGAGGGGTAAAAACAAAGAATAGAATGTAAGGAAGATTAAAGAGTAAGCAACACAAAAAACCTAACACAGAAATAGTAAAAATATTCAAAAGGTGGCATCTGCAGCGGGCGGCAGATAAAAAAACAGCCGGTCCTTGAAAGTGCACCCGAGGTACTATAGGCCGGCCTGAGTATTTCACAATCTGCTCACTTACTGGGATTTTCACCCACATACTAGGGTTTACAAAGAATGATGCAAAAAGGGAAAAACATCCAGTATACGGCAGTCCTGTGGGCAAAAATGTCTTGTTGATGCTAGAGGTCAGAGGAGAATGGGCTGACTGATTCATGCTGATAGAAGAGCAACTTTGACTGAAATAACCACTCGTTATAAAGGAGGAATGCAGCAAAGCATTTGTGCAGCCACAACACACACAACCTTGAGGCGGATGGGCTACAACAGCAGAAGACCCCACCGGGTACCACTCATCTCCACTACAAATAGGAACAAGAGGCTACAATTTGCACCAGCTCACCAAAATTGGACAGTTGAAGACTGGAAAAATGTAGCCTGGTCTGATGAGTCTGGATTTCTGTTGAGAGAATTCAGATGGTAGAGTCAGAATTTGGCGTAAACAGAATGAGAACATGGATCCATCATGCCTTGTTACCACTGTGCAGGCTGGTGGTGGTGGTGTAATGGTGTGGGGGATGTTTTCTTGGCACACTTTAGGCCCCTTAGTGCCAACTGGGCATGGTTTAAATGCCACGGGCTACCTGAGCATTGTTTCTGACCATGTCCATCCCATCATGACCACCATGTACCCATCCACTGATGGCTACTTCCAGCAGGGTAATGCACCATGTCATAAAGCTCCAGTCATTTCAAATTGGTTTCTTGAACATGAAGATGAGTTCACTGTACTACAACGGCCCCCACGGTCACCAGATCTCAACCCGATGGAGCATCTTTGGGATGTGGTGGAACGGGAGCTTCGTGCCCTGGATGTGCATCCCACACATCTCCATCAACTGCAACATGCTATCCTGTCAATATGGACCAACACTTCTAAAGAAGGCTTTCAGCACCTTGTTGGATCAACGCCACGTAGAATTAAGGCAGTTCTGAAGGCAAAAGGGGGTCAAACACCATATTAGTATGGTGTTCCTAATAATACTTTAGGGGTGTGTGTGTGTGTGTATATGTGTGTGTGTGTGTGTGTGTGTGTGTGTGTGTATATACATGTATGTATATGTGTGTGTGTATATGTATGTATGTATATGTGTGTGTGTGTGTATATATATATATATATATATATATATATATATATATATATATATATATATATACAGTTGTAAGATTCACACCCCAACTACCAAATGTTTTCTGTTAGTACTAAATAGGTGTCTAGTTTTTGTACTCAGCCACAAGAACACAAATGCAACAAAAATGAAATGTCAAGTTAATTGTGAAACATTGAAGTAATTGTTTTTTTTGTGATCTCACCACTGTCTCTAGAGCTGACACACTATCCTCCAGTCAGGACGAAGTGAAGTCCAGAGAACGTGGTTCAGGACTGTTGTACGACAACACATTGCCCTCCAGGTGCCCTGAACAGCCAGAGGTGCACAGTGATGCCTACGCTGTTGCAGATGCACATCAGGTGGAGGGTAAGGCCTTGAGTAGAATCTTCTAGCTATGCGGTTCTCATGGCTTACTGACTTTTTTGAGTCTTCTTTTCTTTTTGGGCTTAGTAAAAATTTTCCCTGTGGGAAGATTTAACACACCTAGATGCGGCTCATGGAGAGCGGTATTTACTAGGGATGCATGATATAGCAGTATCAGACGATGTTAACCATTTTTAACATATATTAAATATTAAAACTTGGCTGATTTTAACAACTGCTTTTTCCTTCTATCTTGTTGCCATTTGTGTATATTCCAGAGGGTGATGGTAATCATCTCAGCAGCATAAATGTATATGGTGTGTTTATAATATATATTCCTTATATTTAGGGGTGTGTATCAGGGCAGGGCAATGTGGTCAAAATATTGATCACGAAATATACTAGAAAATTAGTGATGACGATATAACTGACAATATGATTGACGCGAGACTAAGTACTTTACGAATCTACCACTTCATTAGTACAAGCACCTATCCATTTAGTTTGACTTAAGCAGGTTTTTTTATGTGCATCAAAACTACATAAAATTGTAATTGTTCAAATGGGCTGAAAAATCCTCCTGAGCTTAACCATATATAATATCCTATTACTCAAAGAGCTGCTTTGCAACATTAAACTTGTGTGCCAAATAAATTAGTCAAATAACACTTCACAAACACTTGAGTAAAACAAAACAAAAAACACGGATAAGTAGACCCTCTGCTCAAGTTTTCATCATTTCAAGTTTTAAGATTCTTAGTCAGAAACTCCAACACGTTCACAGATGTGGGCTTAAGGGAGGACCTCTGACAAGTTATGTTTATGTTTATGTATTTAGCAGACGCTTTTGTCCAAAGCGACTTACAAGTGATAATTGGCATGTTGTCCTTGAGGCTAACAACAACAACAATAACAACAACTTGACATCAATCATTGGAGAGGAGGGAACAAAGGAGTGGACGGTGGGGGGGGGGCAGGGAGGGTGCTAGTTTAGAAGATGCTCTCTGAAGAGCAGGGTCTTCAGGAGTTTCTTGAAAATTGAAAAAGAAGCCGAAGTTCTGGTAGTGCTTGGAAGGTCATTCCACATTTGTGGAACGATGCATGAGAAGAGTCTGGATTGTCCTGAGCGTGGTGTAGGCACTGCTAGCCGACGATCCTGTGATGACTGGAGCGCCCGGGCCGAGACGTAAGCTTTGCAAGAGGATTCAGGTAGATGGGAGCCGTATCATCTCGGACTTTGTATGCTAGTGTTAGCAATTTGAATTTGATGTGTGCTGCTAGTGGTAGCCAGTGGAGCTCAATGAACAGAGGGGTGACGTGTGCTCTTTTTGGCTGATTGAAGACCAGATGCGCCGCTGCATTCTGGACCATTTGAAGAGGTCTCACAGTACAGGCTGGAAGACCAGTTAGATGGGCATTGCAGTAATCGAGGCAGGAGATGACAGTAGATTGCACCAGGAGCTGGGTGGCATGTTGTGTTAGGTATGGTCTGATCTTTCGTATGTTAAACTGCGCAAAGCGGCATGAACGAGCAACAGAGGCAACAGGATCTTTAAAGCTCAGGTGTTCATCAATCACAACACCCAGATTTCGAACTGCCTTTGAAGGAGCCAGAGATAGGAAGTCATTTTGGATTGAGATATTGTGCTGTATGGATGCTTTTGCTGGGATGACAAGTAGTTCAGTTTTAGAGAGGTTGAGTTGGAGATGGTGGGATTTCATCCATTTTGATATGTCAGAGAGACAGTTTGATATTTTTGCAGAGACAGTGTGGTTGTCCAGTGGAAATGACAGATAGAGCTGGGTGTCGTCTGCATAGCAGTGGTAGGAGAAGCCATGCGATCGAATGATCTCACCCAGTGAGGTGGTGTATATGGCAAAGAGAAAAGATCCTAGTACAGAGCCCTGGGGGACTCCTGTGGCAAGATGGTGCACGGTAGAGGATTGTCCAAGCCAAGATACACTGAATGATCGTCCTGTGAGGTACGATTCAAACCAGGCATGTGCTTTCTCTGTGATGCCCATGCTAGAGAGTGTGGACAAAAGGAAGCCATGGTTTACCGTCAAGGGCAGCCGATAAGTTATGTTTCCACTTGTACTGAGCTACCTTTCAGATGCAGAGCTAGTTGCTGGAATGCAGAGGTACTACCTTAGCCTAGTGAACTAGACCAAATTCTTGCTTTGCTAAGAATGGTCTAGGCATGCTCCATTAGAACCTCAGCAGCTCCTACCAGGACTCTGGCTAGCCAATCACAGCTCTCTAGAGGGGTTTCAAACACATAAAGAGCTGCGATTGGTCCATAATGGTGGGCCAATCATAGTGCTCTATCTGCTTAGTGAACAAATCACAGAGCTTTATCCACTTTTTGGGCCAATCAGGGCACTCTATATGCCTGGTGGGTGGGATGATGCAACCGAGTGAAACAAGAGTATGTCACGTTCATTGTCCAGTGGAATGCGGAGATCATTTGAAAGACAACGGTAGAACCCGCCCCACAACCGAGAGCCGTCAATGGAGCGTGGCTAGACTAAATAATACATTTATGTAGTCTGGCTTGCCAGGCTAGTACTACCTAGTAGTGTTGTCAAAACAATCGATACCTAGATATAAATCGATACTAAAAGTGGTATCTAAATGAGATATTCCATCCCTGTGGTATCGATATTATGGACTATTATACACAGCCTTCTTCAAGTACACCGACACGCACGACAGCCAGATGCCGTAAAGCAGCCTCCGCCTCCCAGACAAACAGAAGAAGAAGACGCTGAATGGCTACATTGCAATTTCCCACGCGAGTTGTCTCCGATCCAAGTTTTGTCTGCCAAATAAATAAACAAAAACATAAACAGCGAATTTGGGAGGCGCTTCACAGCCCAACTTATATAGCATACCAAGTCCGACACGTAGTTGTATATTCACGCTTATGTGCTTAAAGGAAAACTCCCGTTTATTGCAACCCGGACTTAATTTCTAGCATGCAGTACGTTTGTTTACTCACGCTGACAACTTTGGTGCTACTTGGATTCCCCGGGGTATTTAGATCCATCGGCGAATCGCCATCAGTGTATATCCATATAACGGGTGCGGACGGGCACCCATGGTGCAGCCTCGAAATAAGACATTATCTGCACCAAAACATCTCAATGTCGAAAGGTTTTGTTAGGAATCATTAACATGATTCTCCTGTTCGTTTGGAGCGAGTCTGGGATTTCTAGGCGTAAACAGACTAGCCGCGGCTAATCTAACCGGTGCTTTTAATGACGTCACTGCCGTGCGCCAATCTGTTTTTATTAAGATTACCGGTAGATGTACCTTTGTCCTACTGTGGAGAAATTCGTTCTCCCTTTATTGACCAACAGAGTTGTTCAAAAGTACAGAACAAAACATATGGCATTACAGCTTATGACAAAAATGCACCTTAAACAGAGTTTAAGCAGCAAAACATCACTCTGCAGATAGTGTATATATAGTGAGACAATTCATGATTTAAAGTGTTAACTTTCACCAGTTTTTGTATGCACGTTTTAAAAAATGCTGATACTTGAAAGGTTTAAGCACTTTATACACTTAATTCTTAACATTTAATTTTTGTAATATAAATTGAGGAATGTTATTTTTTGAATAAACTTGTTCAATAAATTGGTGTTTTTAAATGGTATCGAAATCGAGTATCGAGTTTTTTTTCAAGTAACAAATCGAGTTTGAAATTTTTGTATCGTGACAACCCTACTACCTAGCTAATCTGCTGTCTGTCAACTTTCCATCACAAAAGGTGATCACACTCACTGTCTGCTGGTGGACTATTCACATAGCTGTTCAGATAATACCTTTTCTGCAGGTTCATCTGTCTTTCCTGTAACTGGTCCCTTCAAAAAGCTCCAGAGACTCATTGGCTTTTCAGCAGCTGCCTGACTTGTTTGGTCACCACCAGCAGATGTAGGAGGTGTTTCTGAAACACCTGTGGCTGTACTACCCTGGTTTGACACAAGATGCTCTAGTTCACTCATGACTTGAACTTTGATGGCTTTGCTCTCACCTTCACTGAAATATTCTGTACGGTAACGTGGATGAAGGAGAGAAGCCATTTTACACATCTATCTGTGACACTGTCTTTGTAGCATTTGTTGATGTAGTCAAGTATTAGGGCTGGACAATAATTCAATAACTTAATATCGATCAATAGACACGTGGTTCAATAGAAAAAAATGGATCAATTAAAACTTCAATAAGTTTCCTTTTTCCATTATGGCCTATTGGGTAGCGTCAAACTAGAGTCATTACTTACACCTAACCAATCAATACACAGACCCAAGCACGCTCTATCACCAAGCCCTCCCCTCTCAAACCTCAACAGACAGTAGTGTGAACTAAACAAGATGTTGCAGCAAGGAGAGGTGGAAGAAATACTCTCATAAAAAAGGTTACAGTACCTCACCAGTAGGGCTGCACAATATATCGTAAATATATCGTTATCGCGATATCAGCACGCACAATATGCATATCGCAAAGAACAGATATCGTAATGAATGGTCAGCTCAAATGTTTGCTACACATAATGCATTCTGTCAATCAAACGAAAGTATTAAATTTTTTTAACAAACAGAGCTCTTCGCTCATTTGGTCAATTGGGTGGGTTCTCATAGGTTAGAGTCCCGCCCCCAGGGCGGACGACCCTTAATTTTGATGGTTAGCAAACACCTGAGTTAGCTTAGTTGTGCTCTTTCTGCTGATTCTGCTTTTCCCGGGATCCACTGATTGCCTTTTCTTGTTTATTTTCTTTTTTCCTTTCCTTTTCACATCTTTTGCTTTTCTCATTTTTATTACTTTTTTTATTTCTTTGTTTTTTGATTATTTTATTTTCTGAGTTAAGTTTTTACTTATCGCAAGTAATATCGTCATCGCAATATTAATCACTGTTATCGAATATCGCAGGTTTTCCTAATATCGTGCAGCCCTATTCACCGGTGTGGCAATATTTTCATTCTTTCAAGTCTGACAAAAACAGGTTTGCAGCAGAGAATCGATAAGAAAACACGTCTGGTAATGCTACCAACTTGTTTTAGTCATAAAGTAATAGCCTAAGATGGCCATGGCAGCACTTAAAATATATTTTCAACATTTTTCATAGTTTTCGATAATTATTAATATTTATCAATATGATATTTTTTATTGATGAGCTTTTTTTCTATATTGTCCATCCCTATCAAGTATTGCTGTTTTGTTGTCTTTGGTCAGCTCAGTGTCTCTTTTAACAGGTCATTTTTAAACATCTGAATAACTGGCCAAACATGAAATGGTCACATACTCTTCAGCAGGACAAGTATCTGTGGACACAGTGTAGTGCTGACCGAGTCAAACATCTCGGTGTCTTGCCATGTCAACATGATGTGCCTTGTGGTTTTATCAGCGGCTAAGACCTGTTATAGCCTTTTCTTGTTCCAGCAGCCGCTGGATCATTCTCTGTTTAGAACCTCAATGAGTGCAACATTCAGTTAGGTGTTTGTTTTCTGGTAGGCCCAGTTCTTTTTGGGCAGCCTGCAGAACTCGCTGGTGCTTCCAGCTGTTGCCAAAAGCACTAACAGTTTTTTTTCCCACTCCCAGCTGCTCGATCAAGCCTTGGGTCCTTCACACTTCTTTCTAAAAGACATAAATTGAAAAGGAAACAGTTTGTTACTCAGTGCCAATATTTGCAGCGTGTGATGTGACATTTAAGTTTAATGAATCACACACACACACACACACACACACACACACACACACACACACACACACACACACACACACACACACACACACACACACACACACTCAAACTTAACTCATTCACAGTCAGCTGTTTCCTCACCAGTAAAGCCCTTTGCTGCCAGCGTTTTTCAGCGTTTTCACTGTTTTTTTAGGAGTCGCAGAACGTTGTGCTCTAGGATGATGTCGACACCAAAACTACAAAAAAAACAAGCAGACTCACCTCTTACATCAGGAAGAATCCACACATTTTGAGCGTTTTCCGTTCTTTCATAATTCGTTGTCGAATAGTGATCAGCAGAAGCTTCTCCGGTTCATGCCTCACTTTTCCGACGCCGACACAGTAAAAAAATGCAAATGACGACTTTAGGTCAGGTCGGCCCAACGAAACAGCGCCTGTGCTCTGCCGCTGTTATAGGCCACTCTTTCAACCATCCCTGCTAACATTTTTTCTTTCTGCCTTGCTTTTGTCTGCGGTCTTCTTCGGTATTGTCCTGGCTACCATCTTGTATAAACATCAAACTCTTTTATCCTTCCAATCATCTGTGATTGGCCAAGATGTGCCATGAAGTCACCTTCCGCTTTGTTTGTGGGGTGCTGGACCCGATCCCAGAAGTCTGTATGAACCAAGCGCCTCTGTCCGTGTTTGTCCAAACCTGATTAATAGGGCTGTAGCGAAGCCTCGACGAAGTCGACGGCTCGATTCTAAAAATTTGTCGACGTCAGATCCGGAAGTCGACGCACCGCGCCTACTTGTTGCATCCCCAGGAGTTTGTAAATAGAGGAGGAATCTGCCTGTTTTTCCTCTAGTTCGCCCTCTTCTCCGCCTTCACTAACATCTCCGCCAAACACCGAAGACCCGGAACAACGTCCGTCCACTACTAGATTATTTTCCTGTTTTGCCCACCTTTGTCTCCCGGCAACGGACAACAACTTCCGGGGTCAGATGCGCTGCTTCATCTCTACCGCAGATGTAGAACATCACCGGGAGCATTTCTCCCTTCATAAAGGAGCTTCTTTCAGACATTAGGAGAGCTGTTTTGGTGGTAGCAGTCTCTCCTCCGTGCTGGTCTGTTTGCTGCTGGGTGTTTTTGGTTTATTTAAACTTGGTAACTTGAACTTAATGTTGGTAAAGCTACTGTTAGCATCTTCGCTAACAGCTTCTTGCGTTGGGATAAGCTGTTACATTTTGGTTTAGAGTTCATCTTTTTTGTGGTGTAGATCTCCCTTTTATTACATTTAGAGTGTTGTGGGTTTTCGGTTTAGTTTAAAATATCACCTTGAGTTTGGTTTAACCTGTAAGACCACTCGCCTCACGCACATAAGTGACCAAAACAAAGCAGCATGGAGACACTCCATCTTCTACCACCTCTCAGGCAGCAGCCTGCACTCCCAAGTTCTACACGTCACCAGAACATAAACAACCGCAACACAATAAAAGCAGTGTTATACAAAATGGAAGGTCTGTAGTGTTTATTCTCTTACAGTAAGAATTTATCAATTTTTTTGAGGAATTTATTTGAGATTTTCTGGTTTTTGTTAATTGTGCAATAGAAAAATAATCATTAGATTAATTTTCTAAATAGTCATTAGAATAGTCGACTATTCGATAAAATAATCGTCAGAATAATCGTTTTAAAAATAATCGTTTACCCCAGCCCTACTGATTAAAACTCTAAGGAAAAGAGGGAAACAAGCAGGAATCTGGGTGAGACTTCTCTGAAAGCGTGATTTTGCTGGGAAACGTCAGCGTAAACTTCTAGCTGCATCCTCTTTGTTTAGACGTGAGCTCCACTTCCTCTTTCCTGCCAGGCCACAGTGTGGATTGCAGACATGAAAGGATGTACGTCGCCACCTACTGTGCCAGAGTGGAACAAGGTTCATTTGAAACTGGAATTTGTAGAGCAGATTGCGACAGCAGTTGATCAAAAACTTACCATAGTGTGTGTTTTAATTGATTTGAGTAAGGCCTTTGATGCAATTGACAAGGGGAAAGAACCCCTGAAAGAGATTATGATGTGACGTCCTATATATGTGACGTACCGACGTTGATAAAGGTACGTGACTGGCGTGGTCAAAACAAACATCATTACATTTCATTTAAATTGAAGTACAACATATGATAAATGATGATTGACCCCACTTGTATAGTGCCTCTCAGAGTCAGGACTCCGAAGCGCTTTACACTACAGTGTATCATTCATCCATTCACACACACATTCACACACTGATGGTGATGAGCTACGATGTAGCCGCAGCTGCCCTGGGGCGCGCTGACAGAGGCGAGGCTGCCGAGCACAGGCACCACCCTCCGACCACCATCAGCAGGCAAGGTGGGTTAAGTGTCTTGCCCATGGACACAACAGCAGAATTCTCTGTCCGTAGCCGGGATCGAACCTTCAACCTTCCGATTACTGAACAACCCGCTCAACCTGTTGAGCTACTGCTGCCCCTACAACATATGTGCGATCCAGGGCGTAAGGCTAATCTGATCACAAAATAGCTCTTTTGGGCCTATTGACTTGCATTCATTTTTTCATTCTTCTGGGGACCCATGTGCTGACTGGAATAGGGGGAGACTTATGGGCCATTCCCATCTGTACCGGGTCGGCCCGAGCCGGGTAGCCCCAGTCAGCCCCAGCCTGGCCCGGTCGATTCCACACATCCTTGTCTCAAGCCCATGTGGGCTGATTCTACCCACCAATCAGAGGCTTGCTCTAATGGAAGGTGTGAATTTGCCGTCAGCAGTGGGTGTGTTGGCCCCGGTCGGTCTGAAGCAGACCCCCTCCAGAAGAGGGCTGAGAATGAGCCTTGGTTGGCCCGGAAAAATACCAGGCCACCCAGATATGTAAACAACCTACGCTACCCGGCCCGGGCCGACCCGGTACAGATGGGAATGGCCCATTACGCTCATAGGCTGACAGACTGGGTAGGCCTATCAGAAACTGCTCTGGAGAAGTTGTCCTCTTATTTGCTTGAGTGTTCTTGGGCTAGAAACTCAACCTACCTTGCTGGCTGGTGGTGGTCGAAAGGACCGGTGGCGCCAATGTTTGGCAGACTTGCTTCCATCAGTGCGCCCCAATTTTAGCCAGTTGATGCCCATGTGAGGTGAGCGGAGTAGATCATTGAGACTGTTTTGTTTCATCCTGAGCATTGCAACTAAATGCTGATTGGAACGGACCTAAATCAAAGTTTAGAGACAACATATTTTGCAGAGAAAAATCAATTTCACACATGAAAAGGCCTATGTAAAAATAAAGGTAATTTCATACTGGTATTATTGTGAATAATATAATATTGCCACACCCTTTATGTGAAATAGACTACTTTAAATTTGGTTATGAGCAGTGCTATGTAGATGTATATAAAGCACTTGCCTAAATCCAGGATGTTTGTGCTTCTCAGGTGAATATGAAGTTGAGCAAGGAGTCTGCAAAATTACACTTGGTTGGAAGTCGCTGGGGGAAGAGTTGAGGCCCAATGACGTGACAACAGATTTGACTTCTCTTCAGCATGGAAATCGTGCTTTAGCTTCAAAGGAAATGAGGAAATTGCAGGGTAAGCTATGAGAAATTAAACTGTATTGTAAAACACGACTTTTGTACTTTAACTCCTCCTAGGACTAAGGGTGTCAAATGAGTATTTGCAATGTTGGATCATGTGATGGTGTACTTGTACATTCAGAACTAATTACATAAATTCTGACTTTTTTGTACATTAATATGCATCAACTTTCTTTTCACTTGAATACTAATTTGTTTTATTCAAAATTGGACAAATGAGGCAAAAACTGTACAGCTAAAAGAAGCTAAGGCAACGGCTAAATGTAGTTTAGACATCTCATGGGGCATAAAAGGTATGTACAATTGAACGTCAACTGTATAAAGATGGCATGAGATTAGGGCTGCAGCTATCGAATATTTTTGTAATCGAGTATTCTATCGAATCTTTTATCGATTAATCGAGTACTCTAATGAATTACCCTTTTACTTTTGTGAACCATTATATCAAATAGCATGTTATAAAATATGAAAGACCTCTTAAAATGAGCAAGCAATTGCCAGTTATTCTTCAAGTTTTATTCAAAATTAGTTTTCAAAACTTCAGCACTTCAACTTTACTTCACAGTAAACAAATGCCTGTGCAAATAAAAGTACACAACCTGAGCTGATGTTCCTCTCGTGCGAGAATCTACCAGCCTGGCAAGCCAGGCAAAAACTAGGAGGATGACTGTTGGAAGTAGCACAGCGAGCGGCTGCGGCCCAAACAGCACCAGAGCCGCTCACAGCGCAAACATGGCTCGCCAGCTGTTTCCCTATTAACACACATCCTTTTTAATTTCTACTTTTTTTTCTCTCACAATAACAAGATTGTCAAGAAAGCATGTTTGCTGTGGTTATGTCAAGTTACACTGATCACAAAACATTTATTTACTTTCTTTCGTTTTCCTCTCATAAATACCCGCGTCCTCCTGCAGCAATCCAGAGGGACAACAGGCATCAATAACAACACAATAAAAAGTCTGACGTGTTGTAAAAACTGCTATTTTTAGCTCATTTTAAGTCTGAAGTGTTGCTACCAGATGCACAGTGCGAGCTGAAACTGAGAGCTACAAATGGAAAAAGTCTCACAGTGTCTGTAGAATATATAGCGGACCTCCGAGCCCGCTTGCAGAAGGGACATTTACATGTGCATGTTTCCTGGTCAGGTTGCAGCATGGAGGATGTGGTGTTGTGGTAGGCTAAATCCATTTTACAGTATTTACACTGACTGGACTACGTTTTCCGCCTTACGACGTGAAAAATGCTCCCACACCTTTGACATTTTCTGTCTTTTTCGCACTCCACCGGGGTCCACGGTGTCCGCCATGGCTTAAGAGAAAGTTACGTTGCGTTCGCTACTCGCGTGTGCATTCAGTGCAGTGTGTATGTGCGTCACTTATTTCGGTCCGGGTGAAACGTGACCCCGGGCGATTGCAAAGCCATGAATTAATTAAACATGAATTAAACGAATCCTCGAGGCAGAGAATTTGACTCGAAGATTTTTTGTACTCGAATTATTCGAGGTACTCGAGGAATCGTTTCAGCCCTACATGAGATTATTTTAGTCAATAGAAAGCCAAACTGGAGTGTCCGTTGCCCGTGACGCCACATGGTGTAGTATATAATTCACAAACGCTTCTATCTTTGAACATAATTTAAACTGGATTATTGCCAACCCGTACATAATAGACATGCCACCATTGCATTGTTAGCAGCAGAAATTAAATTTTATTATCATTTCAAATACAAATGCATGCTAATGAAATGCATTATATTTTACTGGATATATTTATGTGTTATTTTGACTAAGATGAGTGTTATTAATACAAACCTAAAATGTTACTGAAATGTGGGTCAAATATTTAAAAATATTTTAACTATAAACATCAGATGGGGAAAAAGGGGATCTAAACACCAATCTGATGCATATTATTGAGCCTTTCATAATAAGAGTCTGTTATTTCAGCCTGATCATTTTGTTGTTTTATTTCATATTTTTAGGCAGCAAACCAGTTTTGTTTCACTTGAAACGTTGTCAAATGGAATATTCAATTAATCAACAGAAGCTTAGATTTAAACACTTAACGAAAAAGTATGTTGCCTTCAAAAAAGTGAGGCAGTTGAATGCAGAGTGTGCATGTGCTGGCGCATGGTCAGGATGGTACCACCTCTGCCTCAGTTTGAGCCAGGAAAAACCCTGGAGTGGTGCGGTGCAGCTGCATGAGTGCTACTGGTGCATTTCATTGATGGTATCATGACCTCAACAGTGTCCTGCTCTATACTGAAGGAAAATATGCTGCCATCACTCCAGGCACTTGGTCGTCATGCACTTTTCCAGCACATGATCCAAAACACACATCTAAAGCTACTGCTGCATTTGTGAAGAAGATTGAAAGTGATTGTATGGCCAAGTATGTCTTCTGATCTGAACCCAGTCCAACACCTGTGGGGAATTCTGAAGCAGCAGGTTGAGCTTCACTCTCCATCCAGCATCAGGCTCTAAAAGAGGCTCTTCTTGAAGAATGGAAAAAGATAGAGTTAGCTTTGTTCTGTTGTTTCTGCTGATTCTGCTTATCCCAGGATCCACCGATCGCCTTTTCTTCATTTTCTTTTTCCCTTTCCTCACACTTTTGCTCTTATTTTTATGACTTTTTTATTTCTTTGTTTTTGATTATTTTTGTTCCCGAGTTAAGTTTTTATTTATCACAAGTCATATCGTCATCGCAATATTAATCACTGTTATCTAATGTCGCAGGTTTTCCTAATATCGTGCAGCCCATTTGCAGGGTGTATTCATTTTTGCTTCAACCGATTTTAGTAAAACTGAAGAGTTTACGTGATTTAAGTTATATTATTACCTTAATTTCATTTTATGGAGTTAAACAAGTGTTCAATAAAACCCAGCCTCGTGAAAATTCTGGAATCTGTTCATGTGGTCACTGAGCTACTGACATGACATGACGGGTGTGATGTGTTAAACAAAGGAATTTGGTGGACGTATTTTATTAAAATGCACAAAATTTCTATCTTGCTGCCAAGTCTCAGTAAGAAATACTACATTTTTCAAAATAAAACACTGCGATTGATCTAAGTGATCATTTTTGTGTATTTAAACAGACTAGGGAGATGAAAATGAACAAAGACACAAACACACACACTCCTGCGGAGAAACGGCTTTTCCATGATTTTAAATGCAGTTTTTCGGGCAAAAGATGGATTTAATAAATGTGAATAATAACAAAATACATTTAATTGAAGGGTAACTATACAATAGTATTGCACACCACCACAAACACTAGTTATTTACTTACCCATTTGGAAAGGAACCGGTCTATTAAACAAGAACGGGATCAGCACAGTTTCTGATATCAACAAGCAGGACAAACTGGTCACACACACACACACACGCACACACACACACACACACACACACACACACACACACTGCAAGGGCACCGAGGTGGAGGGGTTTGGAAAACGGTAGACGTGAGCAGAAGCGCTCGTCAAAAATTCTCGCCTGATGTGAACAGAGGGGCAGCGGGTGAACTTTGCAGCTGATGTGAACCTGGCATAAGGAGGACTTCAAAGGCTGCAGAAGCCTGTTTATCACTCATTCATTTAAGTCGGCTGCTTGACAGCAGGGATGCACTGGTGTTTGAAAAGGCAACATGGAAAACATGCTGGACAGTGTGCCTTGAGGACCAGGGTTGGGAAACACGGAGCTATTTAACACTTAAATGTTGAGGTCCAACATCTTTGGTTGTGTTGTTGCAGACAGAGGGATGGCTCACTCAGAGGAGTCTCGACTGGCCAATCTCCTGCGTCGGGTCTCCAGGGAGGATGACCGGGATCGGCGGCTGGCCACCCTAAAACAGCTGAAGGAGTTCATCAGCCACAGCGAGAGCAAAGTGGTCTGTTCACATTGTCTAGCTCTATGAAGCAGCAGCCAAATGAATGTGCAGCAGACTGAACTATACAAGTTTCTGTTGTGCTGGCCCAAATCAGAGGGCGACACATGTATATGTGGTGTTTTCATGATTTCTGCTAGAACATTTTCTTTGTAGCTGGTAGCATAAATGTGGTTCAGATAAATCAATCCCTGTCTTAACCGCTGGTACCTTCTCTAACGCAGACCCTGGTCAAACAGCTGGACACCATCCTCAGCACCTTAAATGACATTTTGAATGAGAGGTAAACATTTTCTTTAAGCTTGTCAAGCAGCACTTTTCAGGTGTTTCATGTAACTTTATTTTTGTTTTGTGTTTTACATCACACTCCTGCGCTTGAAGAAGTGTCTTTCTGTTTAAAGAGATAAAAGCAAGCTCAAATTACAAACCGGTGTCCACCCAGGATTTATTCAGTACTCATCCATCACATACGAGGCTGACGTCATTCTGAAGTGTAAAGATTCTGAATTCTGTGAAGTATATCCAACAAAATAAATGGAGATATGGGTAATTTGGAGGCCAAGTAAGCATTAGATATCTTATGTTTCTCAAACAATTCTTGAACCCCTTTTGCAGTCTTGTTGCTTTAAGTGGGATCCAGTTAAAAAGCCTCTTTTCTTCTAACAGGGAGTACAGTCAGATTCCAATGCAACAAACATCAGTCAACATTGTGTTCTGACACATTTCCATCAGAATTAACGTAAACATTTTTACCCGTCTGCGATTTAACAGCTTTCACTCCCAGTGTGCACTAATGGAATCTATAGTAATAATAGTAAAGGAACTATTACAGAACAAGTTTTTCAATAAAATCGGAACATTAATATTTAAGTACGAGGGAGAGAAAGAGAGAGGGAGAGAGAGAGAGAGAGAGGGAGAGGGAGAGAGAGAGGGAGAGGGGGAGAGAGAGGGAGAGAGAGGGAGAGGGGGAGAGAGGGGGAGAGAGAGGGAGAGAGAGGGAGAGGGGGAGAGAGAGAGGGAGAGAGAGAGGGAGAGAGAGGGAGAGGGGGAGAGAGAGGGAGAGGGGGAGAGAGAGAGAGAGAATTTTCCTTCAGCGTAATTACAGATATTTACGAGTTTTACTCGTGTCGTACTCGTCAAAAATGCTTTATCCGTACCCTAATTTATACCAAGGTACCATGACTCACTGGGGATGGAGAAGACAGAACACACACAAGCACACACACACACACACACCAAGCAATGTGTCCATGGTTACACTGTGATTTCTTAGTAAATATTCTATTTGGCGAGAGATAAACTTTATTGTATTTATCCTAGTGAATCTATAATTAAACGGCTAAACTAGTAGTAGCACATCCAACGTCAAAGAGAGTAAAAAGTTATTATCAGGAGAGGGAGAATGTTTTAGTGATTAGCAGCAGTGTGCTAGCCGATGGCCCCCTCCATGAGGCCACCACAGCTCAGCAGAACATCATTGTAGCTTCTTCTGGGGAGAAAAACACTTAGAGAGAAAATAAAGTTAACAGCTGAAATAGCAGGAAATAATACAGTTAAAGAGCAGATAGTAGAGGAAAGTAGTAGAGTGTGGAAAGTGGTCAGTGTGTCCTCCAGCAGTCTAAGCCTATAGCAGCCCATAGCTTGTGTGGCTTTGTGGAGATAAAACATCAACATTACAGAGCAAACAGAGTCAGAGTCATGTTGCTGGTAACCAATCAGAGGAGAGGTGTGCAAATATCAGGAAATAAGACTCCACATCCTGCCATCTGAAACTCAGCTCTCACTTTTAGTTAATGAAAATGGTGCAAAAGTGTTTTTCTTCCCCAGAGCACAACTTACAAGGCATTCATTCCTACTCGAGACCACTGGAAATGTAATGATAAAACAAGTTCCCACCTCCTTTAACCTTTCTAACCATGTCTAGCATTCAAGAAGCAGAGGACAAGTTAGGTATTTCCCCCCACCTCGTTTTGTTATCTCCAGGTCTGCTGTGGCTACATCATAGCTCATCATCAACAGCCTGTTAATGTTGAATCTAGAAGGCGCCACATAAATACAAGCCATTTACCGCGTACCTTTCTCTCTGACTTTTTCCCATCTGCAGCAGTAAGCTGTTGTGGGAGTTGCGTCAGGAAGCAGCATCCTGCTTAGGTCTCCTGTGCACAGTGCTGAGCTACGAGGCTGAACGCATCTTCAAGTGGCTTTTTCTCAAGTTCAATTCAAGCAGTCGTGACGAGGTAAAACTGCTGTACCTTGTTGGGTCACAGCACGCTTTGGAGGCTGCAGGAGAGAGAAAGGCCTTCTCTCATATCATGCAGGTAAATGCACACAGTATCTTCGAGTTATGTTTACTAGAGATGAATCTGATCACAGTAGAAGTTTATGCCAGGGGTGTGCCAATGCAAATACCGGAAATTTGGTATTGGGCCGACACCATGTCCAAGTACTTGAATACTATAAATCCTTCTAGAACTCAGTTTAAAAGGATTAACACATTAACAAACCCTTTCCGGTTTCAGGTTTGATGTTAGATGTAGTAGCACTCTTCTACAGTCAGAACTAATTACAAAAATACAAATATTTTATCATTTTTTTAATCATGCATCAACCTTTTTCATGTTGAAAGACAAAAAGAAATGCAGCCGTAAGTTATTTACTTATAAAAAGGCTCTAAGTCTAAAACCTAAAAAGATTTCATTATAATTTAAAGTTGGGCAACCAAGATATTTGTCTGTAGAGAAACTAGCCCACGGGTAGCTGAAGGGCCGGTGTCCAGCATGGTTTTGTTGTTTCCCTGCTCCAGCATACTTGATTCCCCTGTTCAGCAGCTCATCAAGCTCTGCAGAAGCCTGTTGATCACCTGGAGATTAAAATCAGGTGTGTTAAAGCAGTGAAACAACTAAAACATGTTGATACCGTCCCTTTGGGAAGGACGTTGTCTACCCTTTTACTAGCACATCACTAAACCTTACACCAGTAGAGCAGAGTGGCTCCAGAACACGACCCCTCGCTGTCACTAGAGAGTAGCATTTCATCAGAGTGAAGCTCTTGGAGCGTTTGCTTTAAACAAGCAAATATGTTTTTGTGTTTTTCAGCTTGTGATGAGCAACCTGCAGTCCATTCTGGAGAACGTGGACACACCAGAGCTCCTCTGTCATAGTGTGAAGTGTATTCTCCAGGTGGCTCGCTGCTACCCTCATGTTTTCAGCACCAATTTCAGGGTAAGCAAGTGTTTCATGGCTGAGGCACACGGGTCAGATAAGAATGTTTCCTGATGTTTGCCATCTCCTCCTTTTCCATAGGATACAGTGGACATCTTGGTGGGCTGGCATATCGACCACACACAGAAGCAGTCACTCACTCAGCAAGTTTCAGGTCAGCTTGGGCCCTAATTGACCCACCAGGATTTGCTGGGCAGCATTCTAAACCTCTGGTTTAAATTTTGTTTCACCTGGAATTTTCACTTTTCCACTTTAAAAAGTATACAATGGTTTCTTAATGATTTTTCACTGGCCAGGAAGCCGATATTTAACATTGGATCCGTTTTTTAGTCTTGGCTTCTTCAACCAGCGTGCACGCCACGAGCATATGCACTCCAAAACGAGATTTCGAGTTCTGACCTTGATGTCGTCACAAAGGCAGGATGTACGGTACCATATATGGGCAGCGCAGAGCAACGCTGCTGTAGCCCGCACTGCTTCGTTTACCCTCAAATTCAGTCGAGGGTCTCCATTACTGAAATCTGGAGAACGGAAAATGTCGAGGCGAGTTTTGCTTGAGCTACTCAGTCGTTGACTGCCTAAGGTTCAGAAAAGCACTTTTTTAAATGTATTTTTCCAATACTAATTATTTTCATGGCCTAAAAGATGAGCCACCATAGTAACAAGTGATGACTCCTTTAATTATTGTACAGCCTGGAACTGACTTAAAACCCTTTTAATTTGCCTGCTCAGGTTTGTCTTCTGTTTGACAAGCATGCAGTAGAGTCCAGAGTAATCAGCAGCAGGGACGGCGTTAGGCCCGGCTACTTGGGCTGAAGCCCCTGATGTTTCATGAAAAGCCCCGGATCTAAATCGCGGGAGTAACATGCAGTACCAAAGTCCAACAGAGACAGAGCAGCTGGCAGTAGTTTGTATACAGCCTGCCTGAGCCTCCACCACTGAAGAAGAAGCCCTTCAGCAGCCGGCTTCTTCTGCACTCTGTCTGAATCGCATGAGTGAAGATGGACATAAGGACGTTTTTTTAGACCAAAAGTACAACGACAGAACCCCAGCTTTGATGAGACTGGTGTTGACTCAGGTTTGTGAGTCTTATTTGAAAATATTTGTTGTGCTGCTGGTTTGCCTAAAGTTAGCTTACTATCAGGTAGGGCTGCAACAAACGATTATTTGGATAATCGATGAATAGGATGGGTTCTCGACACGATTAATCGATTAATCGGATTACATGGGGAAATTTTTAAAAACTGCTAGGGAAACGTTATTTCTCTCCTTCCTTCACTTTATTTAACACAACATTATTAGAAAACAGTTCAATAGCAGAAAAACAACATGCCATCACCTAAATTGTCTTATAAGGTGTATAGACAGAGACCCTAAGCTACATCTATCTGTGACCTAAAATGCTTGGTCCAAGTTAAACAGCTTAAGGGCAATTCTCATCTGTTTTGTTTGATCTCATCTGTAGACATTTATTATAACTGGGGATGTCAAACAACTAATTTTTAAATGTAATTAAACATAGGCTGTGAATTAATCAAAATTGATCACTATTTCCAAAAATGACTGAAAAAATAAGTTGTCACACACTCCATGGAAACTTTCAGAGAATCCACAAATAGTGGCTTTCAAATGGTTTTGTTACTTTTTGCAAGTTTAGAAAAGCAGCAGATGAGACAGCATGTCTGATAATTTAGTTTTTCATCTGATAATATTAGAACATGTCAGTCATGTCTGAGGGGCTTTTATAAACACTGTATAACTAACACTACTGGAGAGGGTAACAATTACACAGAGGCTTCTGGGGAGCCCAGTTATGGGGGGGCATTTTGCCTTGGCCCCCAGAATGTCTTGAAACGGCCCTGGGTGTGTGAGTGTTGAAGGTGATTTGAATTGTATCAAATTTATAAATATTACATGTGTGTAACTTATTGTTTTATAGGTAAAAACGTGTAGTGGAGATAAATCTACATTTTACTTTTCAACACTTTGTTTTGTTTTCTTGTTTTTATTGAACTATTTTCCTGTCCTGTCTGTCTCTCATCTTCCTGCATCTCCTCTTAATTCTCCAGAAAAACTGCTGCCTGGATTCTTACTTTTTCACCTCATCAGTTACTTCTGAGCAGATCAAAGGGATCTCCTGACCGCAAAGCGCAGAGCGCGTTTTCGATGCTGCGTGAGGTGAAATCACCGCAGCACAGGTGATGAGCTCCGCAGTAGCAGAGCGCTGCAGGCACAAATAAGACAGAAAATAGAGAACATGTGCAGACATGAACGATCGTGTGCTAATTATAGTTTTTTGGTTGCGCCACTTTGAGAATGGACCGTGCGCTGGAAGCAGCTGCCTGGATCGCTGTGCAACAACGCGCTGCGCCACTCTCTGCTCAAAAGAGTCCAAAAATGATATAATATAGAAAACTTTTTCCGGCTCTCCTGGATGTGTAGGATATACAGCTCCCCCATAATTCGATCCCTGCTCCTGGATGAAAAGCCGGACATTTTCATCAATACAAGAACCCCCAGTCCGGATGCGCCGGACAGAGAGTGAAAAGTGGACACGTCCGGGGAAAACGGAACGTACGGTCACCATAGTCCTCATAAAGCGGGAAATTATAGATACAGTATTTTGCTCGTGCCCTGGGCCCTTTAGAGTTCGTGGGCCCTGGGCAATTGCCCAGTTAATCCGGCCTTGGGCGGAACCGGTTCGCAGCAGCGCGAGTCCCCCCGCTCATCTAATAAGCGTCGCACTCACGACTTTAGACTCTTTTTTTTACGAGCTTAGGGGATGTCTAGCCTGTGTAATAATCCGGGACTTGGATGAATCACTTTTGAAAAGTTTTTAATTTACCCGGACACAGAGTTCTCTCCTTCCTCGCTGATGATCCCGACATGCTTGCGTTTTAAGACGCTGCATCATCCCGTCTAACCTAAACGTTGCAGGTAACGCATGTCTTCGCCTGATTTAGCTGAAAATGCTCCCAAACTTAAAAAGCTTTCACTTTTTTGACTCTCGCTGCTTCTGCCATGTTCCTCTTCCAAACAACTGCCGGCTCTCCCTCGCACTGATCTGTCTGCGCGCAACAGCGGGCGGGAAGGGGGGGCGCTTTTGGAAGAGTTGTGCAACACAACGAATCGATGACGCAATTCGTTGCCAACGCTTTTAGTAATTGATTTTCATCGAATTTATCGATTCCTTGTTGCAGCCCTACTATCAGGTAAAGTTGTTGGAGAAAGAAAGGGAATATTTACTATCATCTCACACTAAACACTAACAGGAACAATACTCTGCCCTGAAAATGCTTAATATGTAGCTTCAGATTAAAAATTATGTGGTACAAGACATATATGATGTTGACTAGTGTGTGTGTGTGTGTGTGTGTGTGTGTTTGTTTGTTAAGCCCCGGATCTTCTTCAGTCCTAAATCCGCCCTGATCAGCAGCCTGTATTCTTTTTGCCTCATTTTGGTTTTGGATTAGAAATTTAAGCGGAAAGGAGAAACAAACCTTTTCTCTTTAAAGGTGTGCAATATGTACGAATAAAGCAAGAATTGTACAGTTAACCTCTTCTTACCTAGGCTTTCTTCTGAGAAATCTGCTCAAACATGACATGCCCATACTTTAATGCAGGGGTCTCCAACATGTCGCACGCACTTGAAAGTTGAGCGCCTGCACGCAGCCAGCGAGCCATTCTGACTTGTAACTAACGAGGGTTAGATTTTTAATTTGTTGGCAAGCCTTCCTCGTTTTCTGTAATATCTAATCTAAAATTACTTTTGTGGAAGTAAAATAAAAATCTGATTATCGCACAAATCTTTTGGCAAACATTTTCTACTGGAAATACAAACATTCTAGACATCATAAAACAGGATTGAGATCTCTCTCTCTCTCTCTCTCTCTCTCTCTCTCGCTCTCTCTCTCTCTCTCTCTCTCTCTCTGTTGCGCACAGTCGTGAGACCCACAGAGGAAAAAAAAAAAGAAACTACACCTAAACTCCAACCTTAATATTATCATTCATAAATGCAGCACAGCATAGTTTTACCTGCAGTTATTCACAAGTGAAGCAAAACTGAACTTTCATGAGCAAAAAAACCCCCATAAAAATTCTTCAGGAAAGCAGGAAGAAATGTTATTTCTGTTTTTACATTTTTAATTCAGTTCAAACTATTTAGAATTTTCTAGTTTTCATCACATTTAGCTTGTGTTTTATTAAAAATACCTTCAGCTTAGTTAATTTTATGAGAAAATTAGTTTTGCATCGTTTGGAAAAATATTCATAACAAAACAATTACTTGAAAGGTTTTGTACTAATGACGTTTAAAGAACATGAATTTAAATGTTCTTTAAAAGGCATTCGATAGTTTTTGGAAGTTTTTGTTCATTAATTTTTGCTGATTAATATGAAAAACGGACTGCTTAGGCTCAGAGCAGGGCACAGGGTCAGGGACTGAACAGGTTAGCTGCTCCTGTGTGCTCAAAAGTTATGTTACTGATCCATTCTAAAAAACTGTCAAATCATTCACACGATTTCTAATTCATTATTTGAAAGTAGAAATTGTTTCTTTATTTTTTTGCTGCCTGAAAAAAAAATATTTCAGGCTGAATAACTCTTTGGAAAAATGCAGAAGTAGCTTCAAACTTCAATGAATTCGTGGCCCCACTTCTTGACAGTAGCTGTACAAAGTTTGAGTTTGATAAAGTGAAGATCAAGAGTTATATATGTAACTAAGGTTGTATGATTTCCAGATGACCGCCAGAGGGAGGTGCATAGCACTGGATATTTGCATGCGTGCAGTGCATAGGTCAAGAAGAAATACCAACAAAGTCAATCATTGGACGTGACCCTGGTGATGTAGTAGCAGTCTATATATATCCCACACCACCGGAAATCAGTTCCTTTTGGAATACTTGCAGTATCCTGAGTTACAGATAATTCTGGAAGTCATCCAGAAATCATAGAACCTTAGTTACATACATACCTCTCATTCTATATCATTCCTCCTGACCACCAGAGGGTAGTGCATTTCACTGGACGACCTAATACCAACAAAGTCACGAAGAGTCCACACTCACCAATTATCAGTTGTGGAGAGATGAGGTGGATAACACAGCTGAAGCCACTGCATGGGGAGCAGCCACATTTACTCTGTAGAAATGGGCG